TCTGGTGCTGGATAGCGAGCAAGGTATTTGTGCAACTACCCGCCTGTCTATATGCAAATTGGGTGTGGCTCAGGTTGTTCTCAATGACTGACTGTGCTTGTGTACGATACACGACCTTCTCAAACAACCGGGCAATAACAGAAGTAACTTTAATACCACGGTAGTCTGAGTCCTCTATAGGCAAGTTCACGTTGGGGAGAGGATTAACATTTGCCCTTTTCCAGGAGTCTGGCCATGTATGAGTAGACAGCAACAGATTCCAAACGCGAGTGATGATTGGTGTGAGTAGCTCAGCACAGTCTTTCCAGATCCAGTACGGGAGGTCGTCTGGTCCCGTTGCCGTTTTCTTTACATGAACTAAGGTATTCCAAACACACCGCTTAGATATTTTCGGGGGCTTTACACTGTCCGGGATATCCATATCAATAGGTCTAACGTAAGTGTCATCATAGCACAGGTTGGAGAAGTAACGATTACAAAAGCTGACGTTTCGAGCGTTAGCCCTTCATCGGAGTGAATAGTACTACTGCGCAAATCTTATCATACATTTATTTGGCTGGATAGATCCTCTAAGTGCAAAAATGAGGTTAGGGCACTTATTTGAGAAGGGGGATGCCAATTCAAGGGTTTTCCACTCATATTCCACTTTATATCCAGCCTTCTACATGATACTGTTCACACTCACAAGGGAATACAGATAGATCACTAGATAACATTTATTTATTAAGCAAATGAAGGCCAATTACTCTACTTCTTCATGACTTCTGTTCAGTAATGTCAGCTTGAATTTTTATCACAGTCACCATGAGATTGGTCGATTTAATTTTGGTATTCACCATCAGTGGCAGTTTTCACTTTTCTTGAAATTTGATTTCCCTTTTTTGGTAGATAGTCCATTGTTTCATCAATTTATCTAATTATTTTGAGAAATGTTTTAATCCAGAATGCTTTTAGACAAAGGAAATAAATTTGATCAAGTTTCTGATCAGAACTCCCTCTTTCCTTTCTAAAATGGAGTTTGGAATTAAAACCTTATCCTAAACATACCTACCTCTGCTAATGCTACAGCCATATCAAATGTACCAATGGTGTCCATGTTTGCACTAATGATAGGTACAACATCCTCAGGAAGTCCCTTCTTTGCATACTTGAAGTGAAAGTGTCTTGCCAACACAACCTGTCATTGCAACAAACAAATTGACATCACTCAAAATAGCAAGAGTTAGTGCTTGACAGACCTTCATGTTAAGTACAATTATAAATGATCATTAAAATAACCAAAATATTTTTCAGAAATTTTTTACAAAGTTTTTCTACCTTCAGTAACCTTCATTTAATTATCAACTAGGCATTTCACTTGCCACCAATGTAGCCCAAGAGATATCACAGAAACTAGTGTCCTTTAATTAATGGAAGGATAGCAATACTGATGAGATAACTCCCTTTGTTGCTGGTTTTTCAGAGCATCAATGTGGGATGGTAGAAAAATGCTGTTGGTACTTATTTCAAAATTTTTGATGAGAACACAAAAGTTTTTTGTAAAGCCTTGTTCTGTCAAAGGCAAATTCAATATAGCAAATCTGTACTATATCAAACTTCAACTTCTACTCTCTCTCTTCCCAAAAGAAGACAGGAAAGTAATTTTTTGCCTTCAAGTTCAAAGCTTCATGATTTGGCCTCATGTGTGTTCTGTCTCAGGTAAACATCAATGGGAAATTCCAGAGGGAACAACTTAGATCCAGGATGTAAAATAATTATAAAATAAATTTAAAAATGCCGGGTAAGTTCAAAATAAAACTACAGGAGTTGGCATATAAACATTGGAGATCGCAAATAAATGCCATATATTGGGTTAAAAGATGCAAGATTCAATCCTCTGTTGGGATCTTTCTTGCCATGAGAGCCTGCAAGACTACAAGATGTAATGCACTTATCAGCAGCCATCCTAAGGGGGGGTGACCCTGGGGAACCCCTGGGCATTTGCACAACAGCATTTACAAATCCCCCCTACCTTAAACCAAGATTGTTTAGCAAAAAAGCTACTAATACCCCTCCCCTAGCAACAAAAAAGTGTACTCTGCTAAGTCAAATGGAGCAATACTTCAAAAGAATCTTATTTGCCAAGATTAATTTTCTATTTGGTATTATTATACATATGAGTTGATTAAAAATAACCAAAGAAAGCTACTCCACTTGTTTTCTACGCATGACGAGGTTCAGCTTACCATGTAAGTGATGGAACGGGGAAGGAAAGAATATTCTTGTTTCCTGATAATGAAGAACCAGGATGCCTTGAATATTTTTTGAAATGCTTTATACAATTTGCCGAAATGCAGTCGGAAAAAAGTAAAGTTTGGCAATTAATACACGTATTTGTTTGTAAGCAACCCAATGGAAAGACAATAATGAAAGCTCTGTTCTCCTGCTCCTGTGTTTGTTTACAACACAGAATTTACAGTTTGACACACATGCAATCCATAAATCGAAAAAAGAAAAAGTATTCAAGCATATTTCGAAACAGCAGAGAGCCACCTTTTCAAAAATACTACAGAAGTACCTGGGATTTAATCAGGTACATGGCAGTAATTAAAGAACAAGGTCTCTTTTCTCAAATGCACATACAATGGCCTATAAACTTTTCAGAAATGGTGGTAGAGCTACAAATCCCACAGGTCTTCCAAAGGGATCCTGCTGTGAAAGTGCAAAAGCAATCCAATTCCCCCATCCCAGGCTTAAAATTAGCAAACAAAGCTGACAAATCCCGCGCCATGCCCGCATATGTTACCGGGGT